CGATCCCTTTTCTTTTCCAGCGACAAAAATAGTGGGGGGGGGGGGGAGGAGGAGGAGGAGGAGGAGGAGGAGGAGGAGGAGAGGAAGAGAGGAATGTAGGGGTGCGATGGCATGCGATGGGAGGAAAGGAGGTGGGAGTGTTGGTAAGAGGATGGGGGAAAGAGGGTGGACGAGATGGGGTAGAGGGGGATGGTTGAAGCTGCGCAGCTGCCATACCTGACACTCATTGCAGGCTACCCGATCACTGGTGGCATTGCTAACGAAACACTACCATGAAGCGGACAAGAACACGAGGGATGAGCTGTATGAGGCCTGCAAGAGGGCCTTCTCGCTCCTCCGATCAAGGTTCATTCAGCCTCCTGTCCTCCTCCCCTCCTGACGTCTCCCTGGAGATACACGGGAGCAAAGTTCTGGCAGGCAGGGAAGAAGCTCTTCGAGACGCTGTTGAGCTTGATGGAGGACGAGGCCGAGCGTTCAAAGGAGGTCAAGGGTTGGATCGACATGGCGGCAGCGGAGGCAGAGAAGTCCCCCGAGAAGGAGGAGGGACCTCCGAAGCAGGAGGCTCCGACCAGGTAGCCTTCAAGCCCTCAGTCTCGACTCTGATCCTTCACTGTCCTCAGCCAGGAGCCTCCTCGCATGACCCTCCATGACCTGCTCCAGTCTCTCATCACCGAAGTCGACGTCGCCGATCTCCTCCACTCAGTCCCGATCGGTCAGAGACCTGGGCCCGAGCTCAAAGGGGGGAACAGGGGCTGATTGCTATTGCAGGTGACATGGGCGGCCCTCCTCCTGCCAGCCGAGACGCGAGGTTCAACCTTGACATGAAGACAGTCCAAGGGAAGGACGTCGTCTGTGCTGTCTGCCAGGAAGAGTTCCCCGTCAACGGCAAGGCCAAGGTTGCCTCTTCCTCCCAGCCTCTGCCTCCTACTCATCGTGCGCAGATGATGCCATGTGGTCATCCATTCCACTACGACTGTCTCATGGAGTGGCTGGAGAGGAAGAACAGGTAAGAGGACGCGGAGTTGGTCCTTGTAACTCTCACTGCAGCTGCCCCATCTGCCGCTACTCCCTTCCATCGGAGCGAGTGGCCTTCGACCTCGCTGAGGACCTGGTACCCCGCTTCGCCTTTCCCTCCTCCTCCTCCTCCTCCTCCTCCTCCTCCTCCTCCTCCTCCTCCTCCTCCTCCTCCTCTACGTGATCCTCGTCCACCTGTTGCTCTTTTTCCTTGTCCTCCTCTTACACCAATCATATCAGGTACGAGCGCGAGACCCGACTGCTTCGTCCTTGTACTCGTAGCATCAACATAGGCAGCGATAAGTAGCGACTCGCTCTTCTCCCCTTCCTCACATGCTCCATCCTCATCGTCATCCTCCTCCTCATTCTCCACTCAGTGACGCGGATTGCTCGCCCCTGACGGATGCTTCGTCTTTGGCCTGCTCTTGGGCCTTGAAACCTGCGAGAAAAGTTAGCGATGGATGGCGAGGAGAGGAGGGAGGGTAGAGAGAGGATGGGAGGATAGGAGAGCGAGCATAAGACGAGTAGTTCAGGAGAGCGAGGAAGGGAAAGTGCGAGGAAAGAGGGAGGGGGGGTTATCCACCAAGGGCAAGGACGCGGAGGGTAGGAGGTGGAAAGAGACATGCAAGCAGCACAGCAAGGAAGCGCGAACAGGGGAATGAGCATGAGGAGGAGTTGGGGGAGAAGACAGGTGAGGGGTAGGGAGGGAAAGGATCCTGGGGTAGGGTGGGGGGTGGGGAGGACGCTACATCATCCATTTCCATGCTCTCGGAATGTCCCGACAACTGAGTTCCCTCTAGATCTCCTTGTACCGACTGTTGCCGTCACTTCAGTGCGAGCCCGCCTCTACATTCCCGCACCTGCAGCGTTTTCTTCATCTCGTCCACCCGATTCTGAAAGTCCTTGACCCGACCTAACTCCGCCTGGGGAAGAGGTCAGGAGGAGAGGAAAGCGCCGAAGTCTTCCCGTCACCTCCTGGCAGTTTTCCGCATGCTTGATCTTGTCTCTAATCTGTCCCGACGTGTTCTCCGCAGCCTGTTGGGAAGAAGACAAGTGTGAGAAACCAAATATCTTAGGATGAGTTGAAAACATGTCGGATGCTTCACCTGTACCCAAGCTTGCAGCACAGCAATCATCTCTTGGAGCTTTCCTGGCTTGCAATCACGACCGGCAGTCTCTTGCACCTGGCAAGAAGGACCGTGAAACAGTGCAAGCCTGGGGGGGAGGCAGTTTGGAAACGTGACGAGATGGGACGAGGGAGTACGATTTGCATCATCATCACAAACAATCTCATGCTGGGGTACCTGAAACTCTTGCTTCTTTTGGTCGAGCTTGCCCTTGAAGAGACCGGAGTACATCCCTTCTATGATGCAGTCTTCCACCTTTCGCAAGGGGCAGCGCGCATTTCAGCCATGAGCGTGCAGGAAGTAATCACTCGCTCACTGATCTAGTGTCCTTGAAGTCCAGCTCTTGGAGGAGAGTCGCGTAAGGGATGACCTGACACAACCTCTCACCCTCATTCTCAACACAATCGAGCATCCACCTTGTTCTGATTGGCTAACGTTATGATTGTGAGTTGTTTCAGTTTCAACTTTTGACTTTCATCTAATGGGGGAAGGGCCCCAGCATTGGTCACGTAGTCTCCGTACGTCCCATACGCAAAGATCTGCAGCAAGTCGCTCCATGGTTTTGTCTCTGCGTTTGCAGCAAGAGCAATGATGTTTTCATGTTCTAACAGCTCTGCAAAGTGAAAGACGTAAGAGTTGGAGATCGCTTGTTCCACCAGGATAGCGGCTGCTCTCCCCTTGGCGTTCTTTGCCTGGATCAGGTACTGTGTGGAAAGATACAGGCATCAGCATGAACGAGATGACAAGAATACGTGAGATCACCTGCTCCAATGCTGAATCCTCCGACATGGCCTGCGAAACAAGTTCAGATCTCTTACCAAGGAGATGGCAACTGTGGGAAGACGGCTGTGAAGCCCAAGGATATTCCGACACACATTCATATCAACAAGTACCCTGCCTCTATTCTGACCATGCCTGTCAACTCCACTGATAGCATGTTCTTTGATTCTTGACTCTGTTGCGATTTTCCATCACATTCTGATTACTCAGCGTCTATCCTCCACAAAATCCGCTTCTTCAACCCTGTGGCATGATGATTCCCCAGGAGTGCTCGTTGCTGATGACAAAGGTGATCCTGCTCCTGCTCCTGCTCCTGCTCCTGCTCCTGCTCCTGCTCCTGCTCCTGCTCCTGCTCCTGCTCCTGCTCCTGCTCCTGCTCCTGCTCCTCTGTATACTGCCTACCTCTCCCTCCTCCTCCTCCTCCTCCTGTCCTCCTCTTGCCGCTCGCTCGACCCTCCCTCCCCGCCGCCATCACAGCAGAACCACCCTACCCTACCAATACCCAGTAAATAGAACCCCTTCTGGCCCCAACACTACCCCTACCCTCATAAGTGTAATCTAATATGTCAACCCCTCATCCGCTGACATACCCATCCCATGCATTCCATGTATCTCCACCCACCCTGGTACTACATTCACCCCCCACTTTTAGCTTTTCTACCCCCCTTTGTGACATACCCAATCTGCGATGGTATGACCCCCTACCCCTATGCCTTCCCCCCTCTTACTCATCATGCCCTGCTTGCGTCCCTCCATGCGGCTACTCGCAGTGACGGCGATGATGGCGATGGCGATGGCGGAGGGAGGAGGAGGAGTAGCAGGAGCACGATTAGGAGCAGGACTAGGAGCAGGGTCAGGAGGAGAGAGGAGAACCCTGGTAGATCAAGCACAGGATGTGGTAGGAGGAGGATGGGGAAGCAGGCGGATCCGGAACCCAGGTTTGATCGCCCATGCAAGGGAGATCCGGCCATGGACGAGGCAAGACGCCATGGCGGCAAGACAAGACGCCATGGCGGCAAGACAAGACGCCATGGCGGCAAGAGATCATGCAGCAGGAAGAGAAGAGGAGGTCGTGGGACGTCGTTCACTTAACCTCCGAGGAGGAGAAGACACTCAGGGGCCCACGGGGATTTGGAGCAGCTTTACTAGGATGATATCCAAGTACATTGAGAAGGAGGAGGAGGGCGGCGCCGTGACCATCGACAAGTTCGACGAAGCCTTCCCAGTGAAGAGAAGTCAGCCGCAAGTGAGGTTCTCCTTGCTCCTGGACAGCATCCCTGCAGCCTCCAAAGTCTACGTGGTGGTTGAGATAGGTGGGAGAGGCGGCGCGCAGGGGGTCAAGGTCGAGATCCTGTTGCACCAGGACAAGTCCAAGATCAGACAGCAGCACTGGATAGGAGAAGCCATTTTCGATACCGACATCATCTCCTACAAGTACAAGGTTGTTCTGCAGAATGGAGAGACCAAGGTCGAGGACTTTGAGAGGAAGTGTAGGATATACCCCAAGGCAGAAGACAGCGCTGTCTTCTTGGCGACTGACCTCGACGGGACGCTGCTTGGTGATGACGAGCAGATCAAGAACTTCTTCACAGTCTGGAACGACGAGTACAAGAAGAAGGGGTCTTGCCTCCTGTATAACACCGGACGACCATTCCACTCTGCCCTCGATCTGATCCATCGAGATGTGCTGCAGCGGCCGACGGCGCTCATCTGCTCCGAAGGGACGGAGATCTTCTGGTTCGACGGGGACAACCATACGGCCGTTCCTGACGCGCAATGGAGGAAGAAGTTGAACGAGCTGTGGAACTGGCCGAAGCTGCGAGACGCAGTCAATGTCACCCTAGCTCCCCTCCGCAGCAACATCACCAAATTCCTGCCGTTGGCAGATGACAATGGACAGCCCATGTTCGTGCTGGCAGCCAACAGCAGGAATGTCTCAGAGAAGATCCTGTCCCTCCTCGACACGTCGTTGAGGAGGAGGATGGGACTGAAGTTCGACGCTATACAATCGTCGAGCGGGTACGAGTGGTACGTCCTGCTAGTGCCTCCTGGGGTCAGCAAGGGGAGCGCGACTCTGCACTGCTCTGCTATCTTGGGCTTCAACAAGACGAATGTGATGCTCGTAGTCACATATCGCTGCTGTCTGACATGCTTACAGATGATGGTGTCGGGGGATGGGGAGAACGACGTGCCTCTGTTCGAGATCACGAGAGATGGTGGGTAGAGGATTCTTGTTGAGCCTGTGGACGGTATTGTTGGAGGTTGTCGTCGAGCTGTGGAGATGCTGTCTGAATACGTCTCTTGTGTTGGAAAATGTGATGTGTGAAGAACAAAAATTTGTCAACGACGACGACGATGATGGAGATGGAAATGGAGATGGAAATGGAGATGGAGATGGAGATGGAGATGGAGATGGAGATGGAGATGGAGATGGAGATGGAGATGATGAAGAAGTTTTGTTCTGTCTTGTGATTGGGATCTGACGTTTGAACAACTCAGGAGTTCACGGAGCTCTCGTGGCGAACGCTGCTGAAGGGCTTGTCCGATGGAGGAACTCCGAGAACTTAGAGAAAGTGATCTTAGCTACCAGGAAGCACGCAGGAGGTGCGCTCATTTTGATGCTTTCGTTGATGTTTTCAAATCTGGCCCTCCCATGTTTGAAAATCTGTGATCAAGTTCCTTGCTCTTGTGGATATTGTAAATGTGCCCTTTGTGTTTCGCGTTGTAGAATGTTGTTTCTGCTTCCCCATCCTTGTCGCCCTGTCGCTTTTTCTCCCCTCCTCTCCTTTTCTTCTCATCCCCGTCCTCCTCTCCTAACGTTTTCTATCTGCTTCCTTCCATCCCAATTCATCTTTCTTCTCATCGTCTCTTCCAGGTATCATCGAGGGCCTGAAACATCACTTCGCAAAGTTCGGTTACACCCACAAATCGCTCTTGAACAAAACATCCGCCAACGTTGCAGGTGCTTCTTCTCAATGCAAGTTAGCATGTTCTCATCGTCGTTGATGTTCAGATGTCATGGGAAATTTCTCTCATCACAACATGACAGACAACACAACGTGAGCCAAGATTCTGTGCATGTCACAAGTCAATGTGATGGTGACATCTTGTTTGTTTGCAGGATGGGAATAAACCCTGTAGAGGAAGAAACAGGAGAAGAGGAATGAAAGAAAATTCGCGGTTGTATTTCGAAAGAGAAGAAACAAAACGATTGACAACTTCTAGTTCAATATGACAAGATTGTCAAGCCAAGGAAAATCAGAGTAGACCACTGGAAGAGGGAAAGGCAGAGACAGAAATAGAACAGGAGAATGAAGGGAAGAGAGATGGGAGGGAGAGGGAAAGGAGTGGAGTGGAGAGGACAGGAGAGGAGAGGAGAGGAGAGGAGAGGAGAGGTCTAGAGTCAGTTCTTGCAAGTGTCAGTGTGCTCCAGTCGCACTCAAACCAACAGAGGCCTTGATGATGTCATACAAGACAAGCTGCACCGTCACAATAGACCTGTTGTAACGATGAGAGATGTGAAGGAATCAAGGACACATCATGACAAGAGTACAGCATACAGCACGAGAGGAAGAGGGAGAGGAAGAGGGAGACGAAGAGCAATATCATTTCAAGTTGAGCAAAAGCAAACAATCACTAACACATCACTTCAAGCGTTCAAGTCACAAGTCAAACCACCAGTGAGCGGGAGTGAAGGAGCAGAACAAAGAGGCTGCTGCGGCACTTACATCATATGAACGAGTCGCGCTTGAGTTCCTCTGAAGTAATCTGACAACTCGAAGCTCTTGATAACATCTGCGATCGTCTTCTCTCCTCCCTTGTTCACTTCCGACAGGATCGAATCGCCAGGCTGTGACGCCAACGAGCTTGCGATCGCTGCAACCTACACGCCGTCACTTAACCTCCCTGAAACATCGCGTCCTCGTCCTCGTCCTCGTCCTCGTCCTCGTCCTCTTCCTCGTTCTGGATCTGCAGCCTGCCTCCTTCTCGCTTCCTCCCCCCACCCCTCCCCGTCCCTCCCCTCCCCTATCACTCTGTCTCCCCTCCCCGTCCCCCTCCTCCCCCCTCTCTCTGTCTCCCCCTGCTCTCTTCCTAGTCCTCCGCCTCCCGCCTCCTCATTCCTCCCCCTCCCCCTCCTCCCTTCCTTCCCCGCACAACTTCCTCTTCCACCGCCTTCCTCCTTTCCCCGCTCATCCCTTACCATCGCGCAGAGGGTGGAGATGGTGAACTTGATGGCAGGAGTCTGCTCGAAGTCTGCTGACTGGAGGAGGGAGTAGCTCT